AAAAAAAAAAAAAAAAAATTGTAATGACGTTAAAGACTCATGATCATCCGTGCTTGTTTAAAAAGGTAATTGTAAGAAAGATACACTACCCTACTAGAATACAAGTTGCTCGAATTATATGTCGAAATATGTGTCGTATATCTTTGGTTGTGAATTCGGTTGAAAAAAAAATTTTCATTCGATCGACCGATCAATTTTTAATTAATTAATATTCTTTTGACATTTGTTGCTGACTTTCGTGGATCCAAACGAACAAGCATCTTCAAATTAGGTATTCTACAAGAGAAATTTACGAATTTTTTGTCTTGAAGCAACATTTTCGTGAAATCGTATGGGAGCGTTCAAATTGGCCAATTTTGGACTTGGTGTCCAAACAAAGATTTTCTATGTTGATGACATTATTCTACGTATTTTAAGGAATCCAAAATGTATAATGCAAAAAATTCAACAAAACAACGGGAAAAAATTATACATCAAGTTTTCGGGATTGTTGTAAAGGAATTCAATCTTTAAATCTATCCATAGTAGATTTAGCTGTGAAAAAAATTTTGCAGTGTTTTTATATATTATGACAATTTATGACATTTTCGAGAAGAAAACTGTGAAAAACAAAATAAATAACGTATTTTGAAAGCAGAGGCTTTAAGTTTTAAAATGAGCTTTAAGATTATTATTACACGATTCTTTTTTACAAAAAACAGATTCGATACTTAATATTACTGAGACTCACTGGATGTATATAAAGTTGTTGCTTTTGCGTTACAACAATTTCATGGTTTTCTTTAGGTGCCAATCCACAGAACTGGATTGCTTCCTGAATCATTATCTTCAGGATAAATAATTATGCATTTTGGATTCCTTAAACCATGTAAGATAATGTCCTATAAAAAGCTTTTTATTGGCAACCAGGTCCAAAAACTGGCCAATTTTTACCATTGTCCTTCGCTCAAATGTCCTGCCAAGTGTATCTGCCAAGTACATATATTTTATTGCCCCCGTAAGATAGTATTAAAACTACGTTTATCTCAATTACGAAATGAGTTTGACGCTCAAGGTGATGAAAGAATCGAGGTAAGTGGGTCACAGCAACGGCATTGTGCCCGATGTGCACCGTGGGTGTAATTGGACCGATGCGACAGTGGCGTTACCTTTAAATTAACGTAATCGTGTAATCCGAACGGGGGAAATTTCGTATTGTTACCATAATTCCCGTGTAACGTACAGCCACAGCAAAGATACACGTACGCGTGTCCTATCAAATTTTCAGGCCATTTAAATGTTAGTTGGATGAAAGATTGTATCTCTGTATTCCACCGAAAATGTGAAAAGCATCGAGCTCGCCCAGCTAGCCACAGATCAGTTTGATTCGAAGCTTCAGTACGGATTTCGTTTCCCAGTGGTCGTAAGAATTCCACTTGCAAGAATAGAAATATTTCCTCCGGCGAGAGAGAAAGGTATTGGCGATTTCGGAAATTTCGATGTGAAATTGCTTCCCTGATTTCCTACGAGCGAACTCCTATCGCTGGAAAAGCATCGGTTTTCTCCAACGGCGTCTATTCGAATACCCATTTTCCCGCCTGTGATCTTGCAAACAAGAGAAGCGTTATTAAAGCGTACGCGAATGATTATGTGGCTCGCACTTTCGAATAGAAACTATATTTCGTACGACGATATATTTAGCGGTAAATCTTCTTCACTAAGAAACGCACAAGTTTCACTTCGATCTCCGGGAAAAAGTATTCTCGTTTCATTTCAGTTTATAAAAAAAAAAAAAAAAAAAATGCAAATTTGCATGAATATCCGCTGTTCGATTATTCCAAATAATAATTTCAAAAGTTTCGTCGAGAACATTCCCGAATTGTGTTAATAATTGCATGGAGATTCTCGAACAAATTCAGTGGAGATGCAAACGAAACGTCTTCGTTCTCCAATATCGAATTCAGCAAGCATCAAGTAAAATTCAAGCTGTATCCAGCTATATATATTATAGTAACAATAGTAGTAATATCTTTAATAATGAGAATAATATTAGGTTGGAGAAAAAGTAACCGCGTTCTTTTATACGCAAGTGAAAGGCAAATTTTTCACGAGAAACAAAAGCTTTTAATAAGTTAATATATTGATCAAAAAAATTCTTATCTTTTTCGACGAAAGAGAGTCCCAAGAACGATTCGATGTCAGCAGTGAAATTTAGCAAACCAATTCTGCCGTAGTCGCTTCTTCACCGTATACATTGGATAATTTTTTATGAGCTTGCAAAATAGATTTTCCACTTTGAAATCAATGCCGAACAAACAATTGTTAACGAGATCGTGCCTTTTTTTTTTTTTTTTTTTTTTTGTAAAACGAGTTAGAGAATCGCAATGAGTACATATGTCCATCTGTTGGAAAAAAAGAAGCATAATTATTTTTTGGCCAACCCAATAGTGGTAATAGTAGTAATAGTAGTGGTAGCAGTTATATAGTCATACTAACAGTAGTAGTCGGTCAAATTGCATCTGGCATCGATCTATTGACTCGGGCTTATGCTCCCTTTCCTTCTGTTCCGAGAGGAACCGGTTTCCGGTAGCGAGTTCTACCCACAGGAAACATCGCGGTTACGAGGGGCGTAACTCGTCACGGACCGATGGATTTCTCGTTCTATGGTTTATGAACATACACGATGGACACATAGTGCGTTCTCGATCAATTTTACCTGCACGCATGCGTATTATATGTATGAAAATTAAAAAAAAAAAAAAAATAAGAAGAATGAAAGGTCAGAAGAAATGAAGCGAATTATCAAAAAGACAAAACTTCATACTGTATTTATTACGGAGGGAGTAAACGTGCGATCTCAAACAACGTGATATTATCGTGCGTCATGTATCGCCGACATTTATTATTATTTAAAAGAATTTCTTGCATTAATTTGGTATAATATGTATTTTTGTAACATCACCGAAGTAGAGTGACATACAATATTTGCGTACTGTTTCCATCACGTTTCCTATTTTATTTGAGGGATATAGTATACGACGTATCATCTTACTATTGAAAAAATTTGATCAACAGCATACAGCGCAAAAAAAAAAAAAAAAGAATTAAAAAATTATTTATACACATATTTCACCGTTCTCTAAAATATCCAATAAATATCCAATACTTTATCACAAGTTTAGAAACTCGATATATAACCACGGACGGCACATGTTAAAATTCCGATATTTAACTTTTATTATTAAATATCTTGAAAAGCATAAATGCTGCTGCGACGAGCAAAGATACCGTGGATGAATATACGATAAATGGTAATACTGAAGCAAACACATTCGCTGCCCTTGCACAACAAACTTCTCTAAACTCTACGCTGCTTTATTCATTTATTTAACGACGTCGATGGAAAAAAGTTTCACGAACTTCAAAGAAATGCTTTCCTCGTTGACATTCCAAAATTCATATATTTGCTTTTCAAGCTTACTAATTATTTTCTACTTATCGTCTAATACGTCATATTTTTCTCTCTTCCCCGTCGTACGAAATTAACGCGATCATTTGCTAGAGTCCACCCGGAGGAAGTGAAGGATTTACTATGGTGACTCGATGGTGAAAATAAGGTTGACTCAGTACACGTTCGATCGGCCTTGTGGAAGTTCTCAATGTCTTTTCTTTCTATAGATTCCTCCCGTTGTTCCTGATCTACGTGGTGATTCGTGCCGTTCGAGGATTTTGGCTAAACAAAATGGAAGACGTTCGTTTCCCTCGTGAAATTGGCGTCGTTGAGAACTTGGCTCGCGTATTACCGGATAAAAAGGTTTGGGATAAAAGCCAGAAGCTTGTAAACAATCCGCACGATGTACTTAAACGCATAGACGCGGAAAAACACTCGTGTACGCGTGTTAGGAAGACGTTTGGGAGGAAATATTACAACCGATCTCGGCGCATACGCGTACCAAACATGTATGCATTTAGCTAGAAAAACTGTATCATTAAATGCACTTTTTTACGCCAGCTTACGTTGCTCGCACTGTCGAGAGAGCTTTTTTTTTTTTTTTAAATGCTGTTGCTAGCAATAAATTATTATTATCGATCCGGTAAACAACAACGTCAGTTAGACGATAATAACGATAGAGGAGGAATCAGTTAACCCAGTTCCACGTGCCAATCCTGCTTATTGAACAGCCACCACCTAATTTAACTATTTAGGCGACCACTCGTCAAATTACGTTCGCCTGGATTTAACGGATTTTACGCCTTCGTGTAAAAAGAGATTTCTAATTAAATTTCTGCCACAATTTTTTTTTGTTTCCCATGGAAGAATAAAATTAACAAATTGAAAGTCATTTTCGACATGAACTTTTCAATCACAGCAATGCGATGTACGAAAGAAAAGGAAAACAAAAGTTCGAGCGAAAACGACATAAAAAAAAAGAAAGTGAACGCCTTTATCGTCTTAGATAGTAGAAATACTTAGGGTGCAAACACAAGTTAAATTTGATGCATATTGTTAGTCGCCAAGTGTGGAATGCAGTGGGAGGCTTTAATTAAATTAGTTTAGAAGCACCGGATTAACATTAATTAGCTAATTAATGTTGCGGCCAACTGACTCTCAGAAATTAGCTTTTTTTGTGTAATTAATCGCCGTCGGAGTGAACACTGTAACAAGAGGCTTCGAACTAACGAGCCACTGATAACACACACGGACTGTTTCACTTATTAATTGTCAGTGGTAATTTCTAACAAACTCGTTAATTACTCGCACGAGTATTTGTCTTCGTAAACACTAAAAAAGACATTTGTTATTCTCGGGTGAGATCAACGAGCAGTCTGTTGCGAGACGGAACGTTTCACTTATTAATGCATCATCGCTCCTTCGTTGCAAGCATGATTGGCTTTTTCTTTTCCAATTTTTATTTTTAAATACTGTTAGAATTTAAATACTATAGTATTTAATAATTTGTGAAATAATTTTGCAATTTTACAAATTCATAATGTTTGAATATTATAAAATATTATAAGTTTTACACGTTCATCCCAGGGCCATCTTGCATACAAGATGGTGGCCGAATGAGTCGTCGATTCAAAATTCGCCGGTGACAATTTATCGCTGTTAACACTCGCAATATACGATCATAGGGAGAATCGATATTAAAATTCAAATTTAATAATTGATTTGTTAAACAATTGAAATATTTTTATTATACAACAATTTATAATAAGTATCCATAATGAAATACGATCGTGTCTCGAAATTAACACTAGAGAGATTAAGAGACTTTCTATCGAAAACAGATTAAATGGAAATTTAGATTTAAAAAGGATTTAAATCGACGAATAGAAAAATAATGCATTTTTAAATTAGAAAGGAAATTTGTAAATTCTAAATTAATCTCATATCGAACTTTCTATATTATTTTCATAACTCTGTTTCATAACATTTTATATTTAGTATTAAATTTCAGGAGAAATTTAAAAAGTTTAAGAATTAATTTTTTCAAGTATGTGTAAATTCTTTAAACATTATTTATTATTTTTCAAACTACTATGTAATAAAAAGTAGTTGTCTAGTTTGTTATTTAATCATCCGTATGTCCTAATAAAAATACAAAACCAACATTTTACAATCGGAAGAACTTCAAGTACGCTTGCACGAAAATGGCCAATAATCCAGATTCATCCAATATTCGATCGATCATTACCGATTCACCAATTTCGAAGCCCTGTAGCGTTTCTATGAGAGAAGATTAACGCAATACGTACCAATAAAAACAGAACAAATACGTCGCGCATATATTGCAATTCGTTCGTTCGCGGAATCGTAAATCCCAGTTATGCTCGTTCGCGGTGATGTATCGCGGGCACTGACTTATGTGAAATTAATCACATAAACTCGAATGAAAATGCGTAAGTGACCAACACGTTCAACATGGTTTCCATACGATGGGAATAATTTACAAATTTATGGAATGACAGATGTACAGCTATCAGCTTATGTGCTAATACAACAACACGACTGCGTTCAAATTTTTGTTAACTACTCGTTCATATCCTATTAATTGTTCGCTAAATAGTTTTTATCAGTTAAAGCAATCGTATTTATCAAATTATTATTTGCGGTTGTCTCGAAAAATCTCTTTCGTTTTTAATGGATAATATATTTATATCACATTATATTTTATATTTCATATTTTACATCGTGCTATTAAATTACATACGATCCACTCTGATTTATTATCTTCGTCTGTAGGTAATACAGAGGCTTCAGAAGCTTCATAATATCATTCTTTCCAAGATGTCTGGGGCTTTGTTAAGCGAAATAGTTCATTCGTGTGCATACTTATGTCATTTATTGAATTAAATCTTTTACCGCCGAGATTTCATTTTTTTTTTTTTTTTTTTTTTTTTTTTTTTTAAATAAAAGGAACATATAGCATTCAGACGGGATAATATCTGGGAAACGAGAAGGAATATCCTCGTCTGATTGTTATCCGTCCCTTTCACTGAAAAATTCTATCTAAAAGACATCTATCTAAAGATTTATTTAAAAGGAAACGACTAATATTGCATGTAATTTAAATTGAAAATATATTGCCATAATTAATGACAAATATTGAATATCAAAGCATGTCTTATCGACACGTTTGGTATTATTTCTATGCTTGGAAAATAATTTTGTAGAAGAAAGGTTTTCTATTATAATATTAACATAAAGTGAAAAAACACCTGGTCGTTTGAAGTACTTTTACGTGTTTCTACAGGCGAGCCTCGAACATTCCTGATAAGATTTACTCGCTCGCTGTAACTATTTCGAACGTTCAAGCTCTTAATCACATGGTTGGAGCAGGAGCATTACCTGAAGACGCTTCGATCTCTTTCGCTCTAGTTTCGCATCGTAGCAAAGGCGTCGAAGGTTTAAGAGAATTTACAAGATGTAACGAGATTTGGAGTAGCTTGCCATGCACTAGATGGCAAGAGTGGAAACGCGAGTCTTCGCTCGCATTTATACACATATTATATTTTCCATGCGAGAAGATATGGAAAATATAAAAAGTCTGTAGAGGATAAAGTATTTGAAACGTCGAAAAAATACAAATACGTGTATATTTGAAATTAAAAACAAGTTTAATTCTGTAACGATCGTTTTTCTAGCCGGATAATTTTGCTTTTTAACTTTAATATGATAATAAACAACGCGGTGATTTTCTAAAAATAAAAAGTAAATTTATTACGTAAAAACGATGGAAGCGTCGAATTTATGAAATGTATTTACTTGCTTATCGTAGCGGAATATAGGATTAATGCAAAGCTACTTTCCATATAAATATAAATCGTTTAAAAATAATTGAGGCGAGGAAACAAAGGCTGCGCGTCATCGAGTCATTTGTCACATGATTTTAAAAAGAAAGCAAATGATAAAATCCGCAACGGAAACAGTAATCCAATGAACGTTATTTCCATTGCCACAAAGTCGTTTCGTTCCTCTCAAACGGACTTTCTCTAACACTCAAAACTCGTTTTTATCATTCTTCCAACATGTTACAATTACCAAAGTGGTCAATGACTAATTTACAATTTTTCAGAATATAATTCTGCAGATTTACAACATCGTGTTTTTAGCGATTTGAGCAATTTTTATAAAAAAATTTGTGTCCTTTGTATTATAAACTTTTTCCTATCCCTTTTGCATGCTCGAATTTCTAAGTTCTAGAATATTAGAGTAGCTGCCTTAATTTCAATCACGCCGAAATATATCGTCGTGTGAAAAGTAACATGACTTTAAATTTTGATTTCACATTTAATAGAATTTCTTATTGTACAGTTCCAAGAGCACTTGTCGTACGACATACGTGTGCAAGCATCGAGAAAGATGGAGTGGAATTTGCAGAAGTAGGATGGGACAGAGACAGTCTCGTAATTGATCGCAAAGACCAATTGTCTGGTTAAAGCAATTGAGAAGTCCCGCCATATCATTTAGGACAGTGTGCCGTTTACACGGCTGTTGCATTCAATGAACTCTCTTTCTAACGTAACAAAGATATCCGCGATCGAGTAAAAAAATGTTGGACTCAATCTGAAATTTGGAGAGTTAATTTTCAATCGAGTATGATTGAACTAAATGTTAAACTTCGAAGAAAAGGAGAAAGAAAATGGAGCAAGCATCGTTCAAGTTGAATCTTGGAAAGGCTGCGTAATCCGTAAGAACGCGTAACACGGATAATCGCATGGGTGGTTTTTCGATCGCAATATGTGCGAGTGTCGATAGGTCTCGGAGCGCAGAGAGATCTCTGAAATGGTGCGACAGCAAACGCAGCAGCATTTCTAAAGGGTATTTGCCGAAGAGACGTGGCCGCTGCTTGACGGAAACTGTCACAACACCACATTTCCAACGTCGGATTATCGCCGTAGTTTTGCTAATCGAACCAAGCGATGACTTTGATATCCCGGCAAACAGCGTTGGTGCTACAGTGACGCACCAGATTTAAACTCGTGGCGACATTAAACGTACATACGAAAATTTTCTTCTATTTTTTCGAGGTACGTTTCTAAAAGTTAATTAACTGTTTTATCGCGGGCTTTTAATCATCACATTAGAACTGATACGCCATCTATGTGATGAGCCTGATAAGCCAATGCTGTTTCCTGTGACCGGTGTTTTCTAGTAAACACCACTGACTATCCTGCCAATTAAATTAATTAAAGTCCAACGTTCAGGGAAGTTTCCCGATTGCGAGA